TATGGGTTGGGGTGGAATAACTGAGGAGATGAGATTTGTGGGCATGGACCGACGACAGCAAGCGCACTACAGTCGACACAATTGGGGTTTCAGACGACCATGGTGAGAGGAGGCAGACATGAGTAAAAGCCGAATCCCAATTCATTCGGTTCGATGTAACTCGCTCAAGTCGCACAACCAGTTCAACGACTTTGTGGTTCTCCACAAACCTGGGCCTGGGCTGGGAGAAGGAGGGCCGACAAAAGGAGCTGCGGGATATCCAGCTTGGCTTGCGTGGCCATAAACATTGTGATTACCCGAAACTCCTTGCTTTCTTCCATGCGTGTGGCATGGCATCTAGGTAATGTGACTAAAGATCTCTCGAGGGAGTTCATGCGATCTTTTGGCACCTTCCTTCTTATCATCAGAGTGATACAATGTGCTTCATACAGAGATGTGAGCTGAGAAAGCTCGGATATGCTGTTGGGAATGGAGCCCGTCAGACTTTTGTTCATAAGAGACCTGTGTGTGTGGGAGGCTTGAGGCGAAAGAAGTGAGGAAATGAGAATAGTGGGCTAGACTGAGGGACAGCACAGCAAGCACGGCAGGAAGCTTTGTGTAGCACCCAGAGGAGAACAAGGCATGAGAAGTGCGGGATCATGGGGGGCAAACAAAGGGTCAGGGCATTCAGATGGAAGAAATATGGAGGGAAAAGAAAAAAATATAATTTCCTCAGGAAAGGGGGGAAGAGTATTGGCGTTAAGATTTCATACCATTGAACTTTCATTGGATGCAATGCAACAACCAATTATTTGTGACTACAGTGTTGGATTTCGGTCATCGTTTACCAACATGCCCTTCGCTAGTCCCTGTATATCAATATGCTTCTCTACTAAGCATAAAAGAGGGCGAGCTCATGGTTTCACTGCCAGGTACATACAGATCAGTTAGTACAGTGAGAGAGGAGATGCTGTCAGGAATAGGCCCATTAAGATTCTCCGGCAAGTTTCTACGTCGGGTGGGCGGGTGGGTTGAAAACAAGAGGGGAGGAGGGGGGGGGGGGGGAGAAGGTGGGGTTTGAGGAAACGGTGCAAATTCCACCAATGCGCGCAGAAATCAATGAACATTAGCATGCATGCAGGATACTAGCAGCGTTTGTGCGGGGCCCAATCCATCCTAGATGGAGTGTGATCACACTTACATCCTGAGAATCATGCCTGAATTGTCACACTCGAGTCCTCGGGCGTATAAACAGTTAGCGCCCACGGCCCAGCCTTGGGCCGCCTTTCCCAATGCCTTCTGGCAGTCTCTGAGAAACGCCGCTGACATTCAGGGACAGGAGAGGGGAGAGAAGGAGAGGAGAGAGGGAGAAGCACAAGGAGATGAGCAGATAGAGCCTACAGGACTGCTCTGTGACACGGATGGATGTCTACACATACGGATGGATGTCAACACATTGCGCTTGAAATGAGTCTGGGGATCAGCTTTTGCAGGAACGCTCCTGCTACCCGCGCCTGCTAACCAATGAACTCTCCTCAGTTCTGCTTCTGTTCGCACCTGCCAGCTATGGGTATCATCCAAAGTAACGCTGGTGATGATGGGTCCCTCCCAACCAGCGCTCAAGTTTTGAGGGAATTTGAACCATCTCCAGTATGTAATTACCCTTGGCTGATTGCGAGTAGCCCAGTGCCGCACTGGGAGGTGGTGGTAACTTTGAGACGCATTGCGGTGACCGTGACCTCATCGCGAAACACAGAGGTGTCGCCAAACAGAGGGGTTACTGCTGCTGGTTACAACCTGCACTAATGGCCGCCGCCAACTGTCGTAAAGCAGGTGAATATGGGACCAACTTGGTTGAACCACGAAGCGCGGCCGCTACAACGAGTCGTCGCCTAAACGTACAAACTCTGTACTACTACAACTGCTATTATCGATAGCATGGTAATAGTATCACGCCTGCGATGAAGGCTGCGACGAGGGAGGAAGGTGCGAAGCATTGGCGGCCCTGGTATAACCTGGTACTAGCATGGTTCGAAGAGGGAGGGAGGCACCTTGAGCAGCGCTGAGCGGTTGCGCATGGCATGGAGAGACGAAGGCAGACAGCCAAAGCGCGGCGGAGAGTGCAATCAATGCTCGCAGCAGCCGCTGCATTGCAAATGGCTTTGGGGGCGGCATTTTGCGGTGTCGGCGCAGCTATGTTGTTGGCCTTTAGGCGCCTCGAAAAAAGACGACCATTATACTAGTACGACGTGGAGACACCAGACTGAACACGTAGGTGAGGCTGGGAGATGGAAATTGCCTACGTGGCACTCAGAGCCTTACTTGAGAAGGCCCACGAAGGCAGCGCTGCTGCGTCTTCTACAGACGCGCCAGCTCTGCCAGAAGGAGCGGAAGGGGGCGGTTCGCCCGTTGTTTAGGAGGCTGTAACCCTAAAATTGCATGCTCGGTAGTTCGAGGTTCAGCTCCGATTTTCGCGTCAGGTCGTGCGAAACACCACCACTTCGGCAACTTAGGTAACTTGAACCTTTCATGTTGCATATAATAATAGTATGAATACAGACGTGTAACGCGAATGTGATATTTTCGTTCAACAAAACATGACAATTCCATTCAAAAAATTTGTTTTGTTACTTCAATTGATATCATATGCTAGAAAGGCATGATGCCGGCGTTGCGGAAGCTAGATTGTAGTAAAACAAGGCTTGCAGACTTGCATTGAAATGGTTAGAAGCATAATAAGAGAAATGGAATTGATGGATTGATGGAATGACAGAGCGGGATATATAGGTCAGCAGCTTACCCCCTCATGAGTGCCCTATCCCCACCAATAATCCTACACCAATAATTCTACCCGCCAATAGTTCTTACCCTCCAATAATTCTAGACTCCAATAATTCTGGAGGGTTGGGAGTCTTATAAAGGAACACTACAGTAAAATCTAACAGCACTGGTAATATCTTATGTTGGTGTATTCAACACTCCCCCTTGCTGTGGATTTTACTGAGTTTTGTCTTGGAGGATACATGTAACTGGCGTTAATTGCGGCAGGATTGATCGGGTGGAGTTGATTGCGGAAGTGATTTGTTGGTTCTGGCGGGAATTGCGGCGGTTTGATTTTCGTTGACGGTTTGCTGGTCAGAAATTGCGTTGGTGGGAAATCTCGATGGTCGGAAAGCTCTGTAGCAGTTGTGACGACGCGCAGGTGCACGTTCCTCCTGTTGGAGACCTGGCTCGTTTGTCGCGACACAAGTTCCTCCTAGGGTTTCCGATTCTCGTTCCTCCTTGAACTCGCGTGTACTGTACGTTCCCCTGTCAAGCTGCTTCTTGTTTGTCGCGTTTCACAGCACCCGTTGCTCCCACCTCACCCTTCTCCAGCAAGGGTCTCACGATGTTCCCAGTTTCGTCTTCCAGCTTCTCGTCCAATGCTGAAACTCCAGATCGGGAGTTTCTTAGTGAGGTTTCGTCAAGCCATGGCTGCTGCTAGTGCGAAATGGTGCTCCAGTTCAGCGCGACCCGCAGTGGCTTCATGACTTTAATATTCGTGTCGCGCGACTGCTGCAAATGTCGCGCGACTGCTCCAAGTGTCGCGCGACTGCTGCAAATGTCGCGCGACTGCTGCTGCAATTGGCGCGCGACTGTTTCTCATGGCGCGCAGCTGCATCAGTGCCCGTGACGATCGGCAGCAGCGGCTGGCGCACGACTGCAGAAGCATGCACGCTGCTGTATTATACCGCATGTGGCGGCTTCTGCTGGTGCGCGCCCTTCCCATGCCATTTCGGATGACCTGGCGTTGCTGCAGCGCCTCGCGCATGACGCCACTGCCCTCGTCGCGCGGCTGCCTCTTCTGTCCACGACCGCAGCGACGGCCGCACCTGTGGCGAGCTGCAGCACCTTTGGCGCACAGCAGCATGGCAGCAGCGGCGGGATTTCTCCATCGCGCGCGGCTGCTGCTGCTGGTGGCGTACGGCTGCTGCTGCTGGTGGCGCACGGCTGCTGCTGCTGGTGGCGCACGCCAGCACCTGTAGTGCACGGCAGCTTGGCAGCAGCAGCGTACGACTGCGGCTCCTGGCGGACGGCTGCTGCTATTCCTGGCGGCGCACGGCTTTCTCCTTCCTGCCGAGGTGAGAATGCTTGGTCAAACTTGACTGTTTCACCCATGTTACCCTGTTACTCTGTGATGTTACCTTGTGTTGCTTCCCTTAACCCTATGTTGCTCCATGTTGCCCTGTGCTGCTCCCCCTATACCAGGTGGCGGACGGAAGCAGCTGCAACTGGTGGCGGGCGGGAGCAGCACCAGCGGATGGCACTAGCAGCTGGTGGCACACAGCAGTGGCGGAAGCACCATCCCTTGGCGGCAGCACCAGCTCCCCCTGACTTCTGCAGCTCCCCCTGACTTCTGCAGCTCCCCCTGACTTCTGCAGCTCCCCCTGACTGCTGCAGCTCCCCCTGACGTCAGGAGCACCTGGCGGCAGCAGCACTAGGCAGCTCCTGGCGGCAGCAGCAGCTCTTGGCGAGAGCATCGTTGCTTAGCAGCACCTGCAGCCGCTGCCCCATGGTAACAGCTCGTGAACCATGGGCTGCTTTTCCTGTAGCTTCCCCTCGCGTGCATCAACAGTAGCTTACATTCTGCACTTCTCCTTGCTCCACTGTATGAAGCCAATCCTTTGATTACTCAACTCATATTGTCTTCTTGTTGCTCCCCTTGAAACCAGCAGATGAGAAGTCCTGAGGAACGGCCGCTGCAGTTGGCGAGTGGTTGTGACCAACCAGCAGCAACGTCTATCCAGCAGAACATCTGATGGCTGCTCTTGTTACTGATTGCAGTAGGTCTTCTCATGATGTTGTGTTGACTCTTGTGATGATGAAAATGAAAAGATGGTTGTTGATGAGGAAGATGAAATCCTGAGTTGTTGCACCCCAAGATACTCCACACCCCACTCCCCCTCGCACTCGTGTGTTTGTAGGCATGCACATGCGTGAGCACGCACACATCACCAAACACACGAGTGAGATTTGTGGAGTTACGTGATGCCTTGATGTCCAGCACTTCGTGAGAAGGCCGGACGTGAGAGTGCAGCTCCAGCAGCTTCAATGTGAGTACTGGGTGCAGATGGTGCGCCATGTGGAAGTGGTTGGAGACCGCACAAGAGGCTGCAGGTGAGATGTTGCTTTGTTGTGAGGGGCTTGGTGAGATAATCCGCAGCTTGCTGCGCTGTCGGGCAGTACTCCGGCCGCACAACTCCATCACGAATGGCCTTCCTCGTCCAATGGTAACGTACGTCCATGTGTTTGATGCGTTGACTCATCTGCTCCCCAGTGGCAAGTGCAATTGCGCTTTGGTTATCCACGAAGATGACGGTAGGTTCTTGCTGTCGAAAACCGAGGTCTTTACACAAGCGGCGAAGGTATGTAGCTTCTCGTGCCCCTTCAAACAGCGCAACGTATTCTGCTTCAGCAGTTGATGTTGCAATGACCGTCTGACGTTTAGTCCTCCAGCTGACAGCAGCTCCTCCCAAGGTAAACACGTAGCCCCCAACGGAGTGACGCCCTGCTTCGTTCGCGGAATCCGAGTCCGTGTATCCGCGGAGCACCAAGTCCCCTCCTCCATAAACCAGCCCCAAGTCTGTTGTGTTCTGTAAGTAGTTGAACACCCTGTGGATTCCAAGCACTGTTGTTGCCGTTGGTTTGCTTACTTGGCTGGCCAGCACATGAGCTGCATAGGTTATGTCCGGCCTCCCTGCTGTTGAAATGTACAGCAATGTTCCAACTTGTTTCAGCACCAGCTGACCGTCAATGTCATCCGGTGGTTCTCCTTGTGGTCCAGGTTCCTTGGTGATCGGCGTTCGAACTCCGGACCGGTTGTCCTCCATCCCGAAGGTCGCCAAAGCCTGTGAGAAGTACTTTGTGAGTCCGAGCGAGATGGAGTCCTTGTCTGCGGCAACGTTGAGCCCCAAAAACTGCGTCATGGTCTTGCTGACCGTCAAGGTAAAGTTCTGCTTCAAGTGTTGAATCATAGCTTCAATGTCTTCTGCGTCATGAGACTAGATGAGGATGTCGTCAACGTAGGTGAGTAGCCACACCGTGTCCTTTCCGTCCCTTTTCCAGATAAACAGAGATGGGTCTGATTCGGATTGCACCATGTCCAGCTCCAATAAGACACCCCGTAAGTGCTGATGCCACAAGCGTGGTGCTTGTTTCAGCCCATATACACTTCTTTTGAGTTTCCAGACTTTGTCTCCGTCCCGCCTTGGTTCTGGTGGTCTCACGAATATGTCCCGGTCAATTGGAGCGTACAGGAATGCATTGGAGATGTCCAGCTGCACCACTTTCCGCTTTGTAGTAGATGCTCCAGCAATGAACACACGAGAGGTAGGTCCTTGGCTGACCGGTGCATACGTCCCATCGTATGTCCTCCAAGTCTGTCCGCACCCCTTGACCACCCAGCGCGCTTTGAACCGGTTTGGCTGTCCGTGCTCATCTCGTTTCACTCGTAAGACAACTCCTTCCGTCAGCACCGGTGTTCCTTTTGGTATGTCCGCTCTGTCCACCACTTCGTATGCGTCCAGCTCATCGAACTTGGCCAATTCTGCATCCACAGCGGCTTGCCAAAGAGGTGCGTACGGGTCCTTGGTCATTTCTTGAAGTGTTTTTGGCTCTTTGTATGTCAGCTCCACCATGGGGACGCCGGTTGCTGCACATTCCAGTACGTTCTGCTGCTGCATGTTGGGAAACCGTGTGACTGTTTGTCCTGCCTGCCGCTTCCCAAACAATACGTCCAGGCCTGTCATGGTGTTCGTCCCGTGTCCTTCTCCAAGCACTGTTACCGTTGGGTTGAAGTGAACCCGCCGTGGCGGCACGTCAGGAGCAACCAGCGGGATACCCTCGGGTGGGTAGGCAAAGTCGTAGAGATGACTTGCGTCATCTTCTAGTTTGTTGTTGTCAGCACCTTCACAAACAGAGATGCCTGCCGCTGGTAAGTCACTTATGGTTGTCTTTTCTCCTGTATCGGCTTCACGAGCTGCTGGGGAGTCTTCTTGAGCTCCGTCATTTGCCTTAGGTCCATGTTGTTCTGCTGTACCGGCGTCAGAAGATGATGGGGAGGAAGTGTGGGATACGGAAAAAGAGTCGAATGCTGACCCAACGCCGTCTCCCCCGGAAGTCCACTCCGAGATATGAGGTGAGACTTCATCCATGTACCGTTGACGTTCGAGCAAAGACTCGGCGTCCGGGAGCATGAGGTCGTCAAAGAAACGAGCTGAGCGTGTGTCCGTGTCAACGTCGCTTGCCAAGTCCCGCACGATCCATGCTTTTCGTGAGTTAGAGAGGCCGAGAAACATGCCTGCCCGTCCTCGTTGCTCAAATTTCCCGAAGCTGCCTTGGGGAGGGAGATAGTAGCAGAGGCATCCGAAGGTCCTGGCCATGGAGACATCTGCCGCTTTCCCCGTCATCATGAAGTACGGTGAGTGTGCGGATGGGTTGCTGCTGCAGCTGATGCGGTTGTGTAACCATGCCGCATATTCCAGCGCATAAGGCCAGAACTTAGAGGAAAGGCTGGCCCCGGTAGTCATCGCACGCACTCGGTCCATGAGCGTTCGGTTAACCCGCTCGGCGACTCCATTCTGCTGCGGCGTGTGCGGTAAAGACGTTTGGTGATTGATGCCTTGAGCACTCAGATAATCTGTGAATGCATTGGCGGTATACTCCCCTCCATTGTCCGTGCGCAAGGCAGCCAGCGGTTTCGTGGGCAACTTGGTCTTCATTTCGCGATGCCAAGCCGAGAAAACAGCTGCCATGTCGGATCGGCGAGCTAACGGCGCCACCCACAGGTAGTTGGTGTAGTCGTCCTTGAGCGTCAGCACATAGCGAAGTGAGGGGTGAGCGTCACCCAAGTCCATGATGTCGCTATGCACGAGCTCCAAAGGTCGAGTTGTGCGCTTGTCACCACCTGTAGGAAATGGGGCCTTACTCATCTTCCCTCGAAGACATGAGTCACACGGGGGTTTGAGGGGGTTTGTCTTGTCGGATATGAAGAGTCCTTCAACATCTCCAGTGCGGAATGTTGCATCCATGGATGTGTATGATGGGTGACCCAAGCGCTTGTGGGCCATGCGATAGGTGATGGATGCATGAGTAGATTGCACATTCAGTCCTCCAAGGTCAGTTTCATTCAATGCTTCATTCGGATGATCATGATCAGATGCATGAGCAGATGTAAGTGCAGGCTCATATTGCACCATTTGCACCCCATGCATGATAATTCCAACTCCAATGAGCACATGCTCATTCCCATCCGCTACTGTGATCTCCGTGTGCCCATCCCCGCGTGTGTGAATGCGAGCTCCCTTCTTGTACAGCTGGCAATAGGAGAGCAGGTTGGACTTCAGGCCAGGTACGTAGAGTACGTCCGTGTAGCGCACTGTTGTTCCATTGGGTGCCGTTGCTCGGATTGTTCCCGCCATCGAGCTCAACAGGTGGCTTCCGTCAGCAAGCTCCACGTAAACAGGTTCGTTCAGCTCTTCTAGACCCTCAAACCACTCCTTTTCTGAAGTCATGTGTTGGCTGCATCCACTGTCCAGCAACCACATCGACCCTCCGGTTGACGGTAATGTTGCTTGTGACGATCGAACCGTTGCAATGCATGTAACGGTTCGTTTGTTGTCTCCCCCGGCTGCTCCTTGCTGCTTTGACGCTTGGCTGTCACGTTTCGGGCTTTCACTCCTTCGAGGCGAAGACGAATGGCTACTCCAGTTGCGCTGATTTGTCCTTCCTCTGTTTTGTGGTTCCCAACCTGGTGGTGACCAACCCGGAGGCGCCTTAGGACATTTGTAGAACGGGTGGCCAGGTTCCTTACAGTACCAACACACAAGGTTTGAGCGCCCTCCCCTTCCTTCGTTGCCTTTGGATTTTTCCCCCACCGTCGCATGCTGTCTTCCCGTTGCCGGATTTTGGTTGCCCTTTGTCTCGGTCCTCTCCTTTGCTGGCGCGCGTGCTTGACCAGCCATGCGGGGAGGACGTTTGTCACGGTTGGTCTTGCTAATGAAATCTTGATAACATTCTTCCTGAATCATCATTCGTTGCAGTGTGTAGCTGTCCGAGATGTCGTGTAGCATTGCCGAATGCCTTAGCTCCTCCCAATGCGGTGGTAGCCCGGTAATCAGGTTCAAGGTGAATGAATCTTCGTCCACCAGTTTTCCTGCCATCGCCAACTTGTCCCGAATTGCAGTTGCCCGGTTGATGTATTCCTCCACCCTTTCTTGGCTCTCCATCTTCAGGTTGTCCAATTGCCTCTGGAGAGACGCCTTTGCCACCGAATCCTTCGCCTGGTAAGTCTCCATCAGGTACTCCCATGCTTCGAATGCCGGACTATATGACTCTTGGAACACGTCCAGCTGTAGTTGAATCGTTGCGCTCACGCTATGTAGAAGCACCCAAAACGCCAGCGTAGCGCGTTGTGAGTAATCTGCTTGCAGAGCTTCCAGCCGTTCCATTGCATCTCGCATTTCTCCATTCACCATTGCCACTGGGTATTGTCGTGTCACGAAAAACTCCCACAGATTTGTCATGCGCGCGTTCATGCCAAATCGAAGAGCCCACTCTTGAAAGTTGGTGCCGTCAAACGGTGTTGTTGTGAACGCCTTGTCCACCGCTGCTCCCACCATCTTGCGTGACAGCCTGTCCTTGTCTTCTTCGGTGTACTCGCGAGGTGATGGGTCGAAGAGCGTAGGCACGGTAGATGGTCGAGGTAGTTGCACCGTGCGTTGTGTGCCTTCACGTTCCAGCACCTCCACTTGGTCACGTCGCATAACTTCACTTGATTGCATCCCGTGCCCCATGCGTCCGATGCTTCTTGCAGGTACAGCTTCCGGTTGAGACCATTGCGCACGAGGAGGTACGATGTTGCCATAGAGGTGAGATCTGCCCATTATGGGAACTCCAATGGGATGGGAGTTAGTGGCAAGTCGGCGTAGTGGGGGAGCACCAATAGTGTAGGATTCGAATCCCACACCCTCCATGCCCACATGACTGCTTCTACCGCTCCCTTCACCAATCTGACCTCTCATGTTTCTTCCCACATCAATCCCATCACCATGTTCTCTCACATCCCTTCCACTCCCGTACTCATCATCCCTCCCCGTTGCTTCCCTTTGCATGGTTGATTGAGGTTCGGGGTGGGAGCTCCCCTCTCCTTGGAAGGATGCATCCCTTCCTTGGGATGACTCTCCTCCTTGAGGTAGGCTTCCTTCCCCTTCACCTTCAATTCCTGCATCTACATTTGAAGCGCGGGTTTGGTTAGCACGCGGAGTGCTTGCATGTGACTGTCCACGGATGGATGGGTCGTTGGAATCTCGAACTTGGGTTGTCATGTTGAATCTTGCTCTCAATGACGCTTGGAGTGTCGGTGGTGCCCTTGCGATCATGTTTTCCAGGTGCTCATGTTGAGCCAAGATTGCTTCTTCGAACGCCTCGTATCCAGCATCAACTTCCTCGTCGAACCGCGCCATGACTTCACACCAAATGTTGCCACTTGCTGTGCAGGGTTGCTAATCTGCTTAACCAATGTAGAGAATACCGTCATCGCCCGGATATAAGACATATATGTCTTATCTCGTACACGGGCAAAAATGCTTGAGTTATCTTGTAAACGGGATGGTTTAGGGTGTCTTATAAGTCTTATAAATGGAAACTTTTTAAACTACTTAGAAATATTTTCCGTACTTCTTGAAAAAGAGTTCCTCATAATGAGTGTGGATGTTGCGAAGGTGCCACTTCGGCAACCACTGCCTGGGACGCCACGTCATGGAGAACACCTGCATAGGCAGATTTGGTGTCCTGGGTCAGCGCGTGGAAGAATTCGCGCTTCGCAAGGGTAAAAATGTACGCGTTATTTCAACTTTCGCTACCATATATTGAAGTTTCGATTATAAGACATATATGTCTTATCTCGTACACACAAATAGGTGTCTTATAATGAGGCTAGCCTGTTTATAAGAGACACCCGTATAGTAGACAACCCCTGTCTACTATTCAACACTGTCTTATATCCGGGCGTTTACGGTAAGAGTTCTGACGAAATTTCGGCAGCATGCCCCTTAGAGTAGCTCTGATACCATGCTAGAAAGGCATGATGCCGGCGTTGCGGAAGCTAGATTGTAGTAAAACAAGGCTTGCAGACTTGCACTGAAATGGTTGGAAGCATAATAAGAGAAATGGAATTGATGGATTGATTGAAGGAATGACAGAGCGGGATATATAGGTCAGCAGCTTACCCCCTCATGAGTGCCCTATCCCCACCAATAATCCTACACCAATAATTCTACCCGCCAATAATTCTTACCCTCCAATAATTCTAGACTCCAATAATTCTGGCCCCTCCAATAATTGTACAATTATTGGAGGGTTGGGAGTCTTATAAAGGAACACTACAGTAAAATCTAACAGCACTGGCAATATCTTATGTTGGCGTATTCAACATCACAGTATATTAAACGGTAAAAAAAGGATAAACCAAATAAAAATAAGGCGAAAAAGACAGGTCTAATATTTCGACACTACGAACTTCGTCGACTGTAATACCAAAGACCCTCGTGAGGCCTGGTTTTGGCGCAAACGTTAGTAACAAAACAAGCAACCGTTCCTCCATTCGCCTCCTCCCCCTCCCCCTCCCTCTCCCCCCCACCTCACGCTCCACCCATTACACACAATGCGCACATTTAATCAATACAGGCACTTGCTGTGGTGCTGTCATGACCTGCATAAACTCATTTGCACCGCACTGGACCTCTTTCAAAAATAACCTTGTCTTGCTTCGGTGCTCACTTCCCTGAGCGCAAAAAAATCGTCCATTCACGCTCCTGTAGGTGTAGCTCGCATGAGGGCAAAAAACTTCTCCGCTGAAAGGAAAGCATGGTAAGCAAGGTAAGAGTATAGGAAGGAAACAGACGGTAATAAGTTGACTCCCATGCTTGCAAAAACAGAATTACCTTCTCCACTGCCCACTGCTGCCGTGCTACACTCCTGTAGTTATACATACATATGATGGCGCTTCTTGAAGTCCACTTTGAGAAAGAAAGAAAGAAGAAAGTACGTACGAAGAGCTTTGGAGAGGCGAACATTGCCTTATGTGGTGAATGCAGCCATGTAACTGGCAGGCATAATGTTGTTTCACGACATTGGGCCTTGTTAAGAGAGTGAATGCAACTCATTATGACGAGTAAAGTCTTTGGAAATGGGGCTCATTTCTTCCATTGAGGACAGCACATGACCCACCTTTGGAGATTTAATGAAGGGCTTGTCCTGTCGCAGACTTGTCCTTCAAGACCGCGAGGATAGCAGCCATGCCAACCACTGGCCCTACCTGAGCCGTCAGAGTGGGCTAGCTGAGCCGCCAGAGTGGGCTACCTGAGCCGACTCAAGAGTATGTCGCGTATAGCGCGCTTAAAGATTTTTAGTACAGTAAGAGACCCACCTTGTAAAGAGTCGATGCAGGGCTCATCCTCCAAGGCTGCGAGTGTAGCAGCCATGCCACTCAGATTGAGCAATTTTATATCGAGTATAGAAGTGGGCCCACCTTGTGGAGAGTCGACGCAGGGCTCGTCCTCGAGAACAGCGAAGGCGATTATAGGCACCATGTCAGTCGGGCTGTTGGAGATGAATGGGACTTATGGTAGTGCACACTACATTCTCAGTATAATGCAGTTGCGTTTCGCTACAGTAACGGACCCACCTTGTGGAGAGTCGATGCAGGGTTCATCCTCCAAGACTGCGAGGATAGCAGCCATGCCACTGGGGCTTCTGGAGAGGGTGGTGGAACTTGTGATAGTGCAAAGGCATGTTCCGTACAGCACATATGTGGTCTGGTACAGAAATGAAACGACCCACCTTGTAGGGAGTCGATGCAGGGTTCATCCTCCAAGACTGCGAGGATGGCAGCCAAGTCAGTCGGGCTGTTGGATGGGTGAGCACGGCATGGGATGGCATGGGATGGGATGGGATGGGATGGGATGGGATGGGATGGGATGGGATGGGATGGGATGGGATGGGATGGGATGGGATGGGATGGGATGGGATGGGATGGGATGGGATGGGATGGGATGGGATGGGATGGGATGGGATGGGATGGGATGGGATGGGATGGGATGGCATGGAATGGCATGGGATGGCATGGGATGGGATGGGATGGGATGGGATGGGATGGGATGGGATGGGATGGGATGGGATGGGATGGGATGGGATGGGATGGGATGGGATGGGATGGGATGGGATGGGATGGGATGGGATGGGATGGGATGGCATAGGCATGGGATGGCATGGGATGGCATGGGATGGCATGGGATGGCATGGGATGGCATGGGATGGTGTGGCATCAGATGGCATGGAAGGATAGAATGGTATGGTATGGTGCGGGATGCTGCTAACCAGGCTCACATGTGGGTTATGATGTGTGCTGGTGCTGGCAGTGCTTCCTTTGTATCCATGTCTGCAAGCACCCATGCGCCCTACCTTGTGTTGTTATGCATGCCTGCAAGCACACATGCGCCTTACCATGTGTTGTTATGCATGCCTGCAAGCACACATGCGCCTTACCATGTATTGTTATGCATGCCTGCAAGCACACATGCGCCTTACCATGTGTTTTTATGCATGCCTGCAAGCACACATGCGCCTTACCATGTGTTGTTATGCATACCTATAAGCACACATGCGCCTTACCTTGTATTGTATGTGATGGCAGCAACCAGCTGTTGTCGCTGCTGGTGCATGCCTGCAAGCACACATGCGCCTTACGATGTGTTGTTATGCATGCCTACAAGCACACATGCGCCTTACCATGTGTTGTTATGCATGCCTGCAAGCACACATGCGCCTTACCTTGTGTTGTTATGCATGCCTACAAGCACACATGCGCCTTACCATGTGTTGTTATGCATGCCTACAAGCACACATGCGCCTTACCATGTGTTTTTATGCATGCCTGCAAGCACACATGCGCCTTACCTTGTGTTGTTATGCATGCCTACAAGCACACATGCGCCTTACCATGTGTTGTTATGCATGCCTGCAAGCACACATGCGCCTAACCATGTGTTGTTATGCATGCCTGCAAGCACACATGCGCCTTACCTTGTGTTGTTATGCATGCCTACAAGCACACATGCGCCTTACGATGTGTTGTTATGCATGCCTACAAGCACACATGCGCCTTACCATGTGCTGTTATGCATGCCTGCAAGCACACATGCGCCTTACCTTGTGTTGTTATGCATGCCTGCAAGCACGCATGCGCCTAACCATGTGTTGTTATGCAGGCCTGCAAGCACACATGCACCTTACCTTGTGTTGTTATGCATGCCTGCAAGCACACATGCGCCTTACCATGTGTTGTTATGCATGCCTGGAAGCACACATGCGCCTTACCTTGTATTGTATGTGATGGCAGCAACGAGCTGTTGCTTCAAACGAAGCCTATGGGAGGGATACACAGGAGCACACACAGGCACACACACAGGAGCACAAATGGGAGGGAAAAGTAAGAATGTTCAATCATGCAGTTATAAGAAGTTGTAAGGTGGGCAAGGGGGCTTTAGGTGGGCGAGGAGGCTCAAGGGTGTGTTAGTAATTTTCGCAAAGAACCCTACCCAACCATTCTAAGATTTAAAGAGACAGCTTTAGGTCGTACAAATCCCCACTGAACCGCACTTGGACATAACTTTCGGGACACCGGCCTAAGGTGAGAGGGGGGCTCTAAGGCATTGAGACAGAAGCATATGAAAAACACTTATGGAGTTTGGAATAATTCCTGAAACCAGTTTGCAAAGAAACAACGAATGAACGTATATGTAGGTTTCAAAATATTGCAGGGAAGGAAGGCAGGACGGCTAAGGGAAAATGCTTACTCATTGCAGTACGAGTCTGCGACCAATCGCAGCCCGCCACATGTCTCTGCCAGGCTGGCATGCAGCCCTCGTCGACGGCTCCTCTCGTCCTCTGTGGGCCTTGGCTGTAGCGCCGCTACAGCCCGGTCGGCGTCCCTTGTCAGCTTCTGCAGTGCTGCTGCCACCTTGGCCATTTCCTTGCTGGCGAGCAGAGCAGCCAACCAGGGAGAGACACGTGGCAGGAGTAGGGTGAGAGGAAAGTTAAGGTGCGGGAAGCATGGATGAACGAGGTGGATTCGGCGAGTGGGATGGAGGGTGGGTGAATGAGAAACGTAGAGAAAGGGGTGCTGGCGAAGATGGGGGGGATTGATTGGGAATGAGGCAGGGGTTTGGGGAGGATGGGAGGAATGGGGGGAATGGGGGGGTTTGGGGTTGAGGGTGTTGAGAGTTGTTGAGAGGAAACATTAGATGATCTTTGGAGGGTCGCACATTTTGACAGAGAAACCTTGGGGTTGGGGGGATGGGGGGCAATCAACCACCACCAAGCACTGCCATGACTGTTGAGTCGAATCTTGCAAATCGTCTGGTTTGCGTCAACTCTACAAATCTTCTTGACGCAACTGAGAGGGTAAAGACAAATTGATCCTCCCAGTCAAGAATCAAGATGGAAAACTATTGCGTTCGGAATTTAATTTGAGAACCCCACTTCCTTACTACTAACACCACAACATCCAAGCGAGTGCAGAATTTGTTTTTCAAGGGACTCCACTTGTCTCACCCGCTGCATTAGCAGAGCGTCAATATGTGCTACATTAAAATTGTTCTACTATGTTACAACCTATATGATGTAAAGAATGAAATATCTCGTTTGTGTCACGGAGTCATGTCACCCCATTCTTCCACTCATCACTCAAAAGTGTCAGCAGCAGAGCGCAGAACCCGTTCCAAAGACTCCACCTGTCTCGTAGCCACTGCCGCTGCCAACCCCCTTGAATGATCCCCTTCCTTCCTGCTGTTATGTTACCCCATTCCCCACCAACCACTCACAGAGTATCAGCAGCAGAGCGCAGAATCCGCTCCAAAGACTCCACTTGCCTCGCTGTCACTGCTGCTGCCACCGCCCTCGCATGCTCCTCTTCCTTCCTGCTACTAGTACTGCTCCTGGTGATGCTGCTGCTGATGGCAGTGCCGCTGCTGCTGATGGAGGTGACTACAGTGGTGGCGGTGGTTGCAAGAGGTGCAGCAACGGGAGAAGGCGCGGAAGAAGCATCAGAGGCAGCGGAGAGGGGCGGTATGGGCGCGGGGACGTGCAGAAGTGGAGGAGGGGTGAAGGACGGGGGTTGCATGGGGGGAGCCATCTGCAACACTCCATAGTTGGTTGGATTGAGAAGCACCTGGAATTCAAGAGGATCGAAAGGGAGGAGAGGGGAGAGAGGGAGTAGTGGGAGGGTTGCATGGGAGGGGCCAGCTGCAACACTCCGTAATTGGTTGGATCAAAAAAAACATGGAAGCAGAAGGGAGGAGAGAGGGGAGCAGGAGGAGATGTTATGTATGGGCATGTTGGAGAAGAGATGGAGGAGGGTTGCATGGGAGGAGCCAGGTGCAACACTCCATAGTTGGTTGGATCGAGAAGCACCTGACAGCCATGGAACGACAGGAGGGGGAGGAGGAGAGGGAAAAGTGGGAGGAGAGGAAGGAGGGTTGCATGCGATGGGAGGATCCAGCTGCAGCACTCCGTAGTTGGATGGACAGAGAAGCACCTGAAATCCAAGGGAAGACAACGGGAGGAGATGGAGATGGAGAAGTGGGAGGAGAGGTTATGATGAAGATGCTGGTGAAGCAATGGAGGAGGGTTGCATGGCAGGGACCAGCTGCAACACTCCGTAGTTGGTTGGAGTGAGAAGCACCTGAAATCCAAGGGGAAGCGAACGGGAGGAGATGGAGGAGATGGAGAAGTGGAAGGAGATGGAAAAGTGGGGGGAGAGGTTATGATGAAGATGCTGGAGAAGCGATGGAGGAGGGTTGCATGGGAGGGACCAGCTGTCTGGATTGAGAAGCACCTGAAATCTGAAGCGAACGGGAGGAGAAGCGAGGAGGGAAAGCGGATGGTGTGTATGGGGACACCTGTAGAGCCGTGTGAGTGAGAACAGAGCAAGGAGAGGAACAGGGGCTGGTATGGATGGAGGTAGGCGGTCGGGTGAGTCATATGCGCGGGAGTAGAGGGAGCGGAGTGGGGAGATCTAGCAGAGGGAGCAGAGAGCTGAAGTGGCAGAGGGGGCAGCAGAGGGAGCAGAGGAGGCAGCAGAGGGAGCAGAGGAGGCAGAGGGGGCAGGGAGTAGAGGAAGCAGAGGAGAAAAAGGAGCAAAGGGATGAGTGGACGTGGGAAAACACGGGGAGAATGGGCGACTGTGGAGATATGAAGCATGGGTCGATGTTCTGCTCTGCTCTTCCTGCCATCATGGGGCAGAGATAGCGGCAGCAGGGGGAGAGATGGGAAAACACGGGGAGAACGGGCGACTGGAGATATGAAGCATGGGTCGATGGTCTACTCTTCCTGTCACACATGGCACCACGGGACAGAGATGGCAGCAGAAGGGGCATTCGAGGGAGCAGGGCAGAGGGAGACTGTGACTGTGGAGATATGAAGCATGGGTCGATGGTATGTTCTTCCTGTCACACAGGGCATGGCACCACGGCACAGAGATGGCAGCAGAAGGGGCATTCGAGGGAGCAGGGCAGAGGGAGGAGAGGGGCCAGAGGGGAAACGGGAGATGTGAAGCATGGGTCGATGGTCTGTTCTTCCTGTCACACATGGCACCACGGGACAGAGATGGCAGCAGAAGGGGCAGCTGAGGGAGCAGAGCAGATGGAGAAGAGGGAGAGCGAGCAGATGGAGCAGAGAAAGCAAGGCAGAGAGGGTGGAGAGGGAGCAGATGGAGGAGGAGCAGGGCAGATGGAGCAGAGGAAGCATGGCAGAGAGGTTGGAGACGGAGCAGATGGAGGAGGAGCAGGGCAGATGGAGGAGAGGGAGCAGAGGTAGCTTACGGAAAAACCAGACAGCAGAGAGGGTAGCATATGGACTGACTACCACAGCGGGGTTACTGAGTATACCTATACCGAGGATAGTAAACAAATAGGGAGAAAAGGCGTGGCCGGTCAGGCAGCAGCTGCTTATAGTGATGCGTGATAGGAGAATGCATGATATTGGATCAGCTTACAGGGAGTCTATCTAGAATGGCAGAAGCGGATGAGAGCAGGGCGAGCAGGTCCGGCAGAAGCTGCTGCGACCACCGGCGGGTGTGCGCCTCGGCTGCACTCGTCAGCTTGTCCAAACCCTTCAACGCGCGGTCCATCGTTTGCTCGAATACGATCACGACTCCCCTACAGTCACGTCGCCTACAGTTACGCCGCCTACAATCACGTCGCGATAGTCACGCCTTCTACAGTCACGCCGTAGGTAGTCACGCCGCCGATAGTCACGCCGCCTACAGTCACGGCTCCTACTAGAGCGGCAGATCGCGTCGTCACACGCGCAGCTGCTGCGACCACCGCCGGGTGTGCGCCTCTGCTGCACTCGTCAGCTTATCCAAACCCTTCAATGCGCGGTCCATCGCTGGGTGAGATACTATCAAGCTGACTCCACTGAGCAGAGAAATGGGGGTTGGCTTGAAAGTCACCGGGTGTGCGCCTCTGCTGCGACCGTCAGCTTGTCCAAACCCTTCAATGCGCGGTCCATCGCTGGGTTGGATACAATCAGGGATTCACCACTCGCGACCCCTACAACGGTCCCCTACAACCGCTCCCCTACAATCGCGGCTCCCCTACAATCACGGCTCCCTAGAGTCACGGCTGCCCTAAAGTCACTGTTTCTCTACAATCACGCCTCACCTACAGTCTCGCTGCCTACAGTCACGCGGCCTACAGTCACGCAACCTACAGTCGGCTACCATATACAGAAAGACTGTATCGTCCGCAGCTGCCGCTTTTTAACCAGCCCGTTCACGCTACATCGCGACGCGGCCTCGCCTTGACTGGTCTTCTCGGCACGCGCTCCGCCACTGTTGTTTCATCGCCGTGACCTGGCGCCGTAAGGGAGCATGCGTTTCGCCCTTCTAGCGAATGCGTGCGGTCGTCACCGTTTCGTCAAGTTTCTGCTAAGTCTGCTCCTTCATTGTTGCGCCCTTGAACACGGGGAAAGGAGTTGAAATCTTTTAAAAACCTCAATTTGAGCTGTTGAAGTACAGTCGTGGCTAAAGCAGGCTCCTTAGGATGTACTCAGAGTTGCTGTTACGCACACTACATCACTCCATCTAGTCCATCCGGGCCCTGGTGGGTCGGTTTCCACCAGGCCCCCCTCCTGGTGGGAGGGCCTTTCCACCAGGGCCGCACGCGGATGCACGCTGTGTCGCGACCCCCAGCTGGGAAACGCACGCGAGCGGGAGTCCCCCGCCCGCCTGCTAGTCCCTAGCGAGATTCGGGCGGCGGAGTCAGCTGGCGGGGTGGTCCCGCGCCGAGCCCGGGCCACGCCAGCGCCACGCAGTGTGGTCGCCCCCCCCGGCCCAGCCCTGGCTCGCGAAACCCCTCGCGAATCCACTCGCTCTCCAATCCGGTGTCGAGGGCCCAACCCTCAGCGCGCCGAAACAAAACCAGCCAATCAGAGCCGTTCCCGAGTGGTTTGTCACTCGGAGAACCCTCGCGAGGCAGACCGCATGCGAATCCGCGCGTGCGAAAGGAAATTCGGGCTGGCCGAAACGGATTCGGCCAATGAGAGCAGGTTTCCGAGCGACGGGCGAATCGTAGACGACCCACGCCTGCGAAGCCGTACCCGTGGTGCCCGAAAAAGTGCAGGCCAATCGCCGTCGTTTACGAGAGTCGGACAGCTCGCACGAGCCTCGCGAACAACCTTTTTGCCTCGAGTCGAAATTTTCGGTACGGAGTGTACTCCATTGGAATGACTAATCTAAATAATTTTATATGCATCGGGGAATTTCTCAGTCGCGCATGTACATGTAATATAACAGAGTGTAGTGCTAATTCGGGTGACCCGATGGTAACATCGGGACTCGGCGGACGCGACGAGGAAAATTCACTCCGCGAGAGTCGGTAACCCGCCCCGAACGGGTCTCGCGGATGGAGTGCATCGTGGCGGAAGTGGGCTGCGCAAGCGTGCATGTTGCGGAACCTCCCGCCTTGTCAAAGTCGAAAGCGGCGCGGGTTGAGAGGCCCGCGCTGTTTGTCCGCGAGTGCCGTCTCTTGATTCCCCCGTGGCCCTCTCTTAGGTTCTCGGTAAGGGCATTTGGTGCTCATTTTCGTTCTCCTCATTTTCGTTCTCCTCCTTCACAACCTGTTTTCTTCCTGCTCGCCCGTTCCACGTAGCGGTCTTTCAAAGCCTAGTGCAAGTAGAGACTCTGACTGACCGCGATCACGCGTGCTCGCGTGCATCTTGGTCTTTTTTAAACGCGAGCATCGTTTAGCGGACCGTGAATCCTAGATCCCCCGTACCTGTGGTCGCGCTCTTGAGGTGGTACCGGTGATGAACCGCGAAATGAAGGCGCTTAGAGCTGGGTCGATGGCGGCCGCCTCCTGTCCGGCCAACATCTCTGTTGCGGGAGCCACGGTGGACCTCCCCCCCGATCAGTGGAAGCTGCTCGCTGATGACAAGCATCCGTTCACGGCCCGTCTGTTCGACTTCATCGCTTGGTGAGATCCAGGCATCCCAATCCCTGATTCCACTGTGCACGCGTTGTTGGTGGTCGCGTGGTATAGCATGATCGCGACATGTCCGCAGTATGCACTAGTGGACTGTGCAAGGCGCGTCGTATTTCCGCGGTGCTTTTATGTAGCCTTGTTTGTGTCCGTGATTTCCCCCGCTGTGTTTTACCTCTTCCCGCACAGCGTGATTGTCCGGAGGTTTTTGGAGAAAGAGGTGCAGGAGCACGTCAGGGTCGTGACGAGCGATGTGGTCGCGGACATTGTCGCGGGTCGCGATGAGGCTGTCAAGGCCTTTGCCGGTGTGATGGAGTGCAGCCTTGTTGCATTCTGCATCTGGACCGAGTGAGTGTTTATTTTGGAGTGTTCACTGGTATTGTTTCTCGTACTCGATTACGTGGGTTTACGCGGTCGTTAATGTAACGTGCAGGGACTTGGTGGACAACAACTGCTCGAACGCGAGCATGCTCCTTATGCTCCACCCAGATCACCTGTCGATTGACGGTGACGAGAATTGGCACACGCGTTTCGTTCGCGTTGCTATTCCACCTGGTGGGCGGGAACACGTGACCGCGGCGGAGGCAATTGTGGAGTGAGTACCGCGTACAAGTGTACCATCTTTACCACGTTCAATACCGTTACATGGCTCCCGTCGCTAACCGTGCGTTCGCGTTGCTATGTTTGTGCGTATGGGCAGGTGGTTTCAGGGTCGCGTGGACGAGGAGTTTGCTCGCGGCTCCATTCAGTGCACCCGGGCGCGCCAGCTTCAGGATCCCAATCGGCTGTACGATATGGTAAGTCTGTGTTGTTTACGTGTCCTCGTTGGCCGCGAGTAGTTGCAACCGTGCTAACAAAACCCTCGTTCTGATTCCCAGGACGCGACGTCGTTGAAGGGCTCCTGCGGCAACCTCGCTTGTCTGTTCGCGTTAGACAAGACCCTTGCTCAGTTGGACGCGGTTGCTGCCAATGGATCCGGGCCGCAATTCTCGAGGCCTACCGCGAAGACTCTGAATGCACTGCGGCATGACGCCCACCAAACCGCCGAAGAGCTCGCGTTCAACTTGAGCGTGGATTTGCCGCGACACAAGCACGGCGGTGAGGCTGAGGGGGCTGAATTGGGGAAGATGCATGAAGTGACAACGGGTGCGCGGGTTGCTGACCATGGTGTACTCGCTCTCACAGGTGCCGCTGGTGTTTCGAGCCGCGGAGGTGCTCGCGGCGGGACGGCGGTCCACGCTGATGACGATGGGGCAGACGATACCGCGACTAAGGGTGCACCCCGCGATGACGCTGACCGCACTGTAGCGCGTGAGGGGGAAGAGTCAAGCGAGGAGGAGGCGGAGGCACACGTGGTCGCGGCCGCGGCAGCCAACAGGCCCGCTACATCCGGCAAGAGCATCAAGCACCTCGCGCAGCACTTGGCCCCCGGTGCTGGAAGCGCGGCCCCGAGTGGTGAGGTCGCGAGCAAGAGTCCCGTGACATGTGCGCGTGATCACGCGTCCCTTTCCGCGTTGCCCTCGCATAGGCTTGCTGCCGAGATCCTGCAGCTTGACTGCAGGCTTGCAGCGCAGGCGGAAGAGATCGCACGGCTGAAGATACGCCAGGAGTCGGGGGTTGGAGGGGTCGCGGTCGTGGGCTCCGAGGAGCTCGCGGCCGCGCTGTCTAATGCGGTTCGATTGCTGGAGAGGGAGGCGAGGGCGCTCGCGCAGGAAAGGGCGGCCCTGCTGGACACGCGTAACCAGGAGGCGTTGGTGCTGGGGCGAGTGGACGCGAGGTTGGGCCAGCTGCAGGGGGTGGTGGCGGACTCCATGGAAACCGCGCAGAAGAAGTTGACGGACGAGGTTGCGCGGAAGATCGACAACATGTCGTCCGCGGTCTCAGCGACAGCAGAGCGGGCAATCACAACCAGCGGGGTCACGAACGCGCTGCACACCCTCATCGCGCTCGTCGGAGGGAGCCCGGCTACGCGCACCGGTACGGAAGATCCGGCCGCGACGGAGAATGCCGAGGCCGGGGATGCTGAGCATGGTAAGCGGGCGGCGGGTGCGAAGGCCGAGACTCAGCGGGGGGCGAAGAGGCAGAGGGTTCCTCAGGCAGCGGCCGCGGTGCGCCACCCGAGCGTGCATGACATCCTCAAGAACAAGTGGGGCGCTGCATCGCGAGGCGCTGCACCGCCTGGTCAACCGGGGTCGAGCTCGCGCTCCATCCCACCTGGAGAAGCTGCACCCAAAGCACCGGGCCCTGCCGGGGCGACCGCGACAGTGACAACCACTGCGGGTAAGGGCAAGGGTAAGTTGGAGGATGGAGATGTGCCGGCCGCTGTGGGTTCGCTTGCAGCGGGGCGTGAGGAGCAGTCCGCGGCGGCTGCTGCGGCGGAGGGAAGGCAGACCGCTCTCGCACCCGCTCATCCCGCGATTACCGCGGGTCATCTGCACAGCGCGCTGGCATCTGCAGGTCCGAGCGCTGCCGCGGGAGAGGCCAAGACGGAAAAACGCGGGCGAGGCAAGAAGTTGCCCCCTCCACCCGTGTACACCATCGACGAGGACAATGCGGACGAGGAGCTCGAGAATCTCGCGAGCCGGTGGGTCGGGGAGGAGGGCGACGGAGGAGAGCAGGGTGTGGTGGACGCGGTCGAACTTTTTAGTGGCGGGGAGAGCGCGGACGAGCAGGACGCAGACACCGTGGTCGTGCCCTGTGGGCCAACGGGGGGACTGGGTGACACAGTCAGCAAGCGCAAAGGCTGTGGTATCCGCCATCCTCCCAGGGGCGGTCCTGGCTTGGTTTCTGAACCGCATCTGGGGGGGAAGAAGCGGTGGCTTGGACAAGGCGAGCGCGACGACCTGCAGTACAAAACCGCGATCGCGATGATGCCGTACGACCTGAAGGTGGATCCCGGGCTGCACCTCAGCTCTAAGCAGATGCGGGATTGGGCCGCGGACCTGTCCGCTGCCGAGGGGCTACACACGGGCCTCCTCATCACCATGCATCACCGCAACCTCGTGGCCAGCAGGGAAAGGTGAGCGGCACCATCTCACATTCATCTAGCGCGTTCATACTGTCGTGTATGTTGGGGGTGGGGGGTTGGTTTATCGTGTTCTGGCCGCTACACCCACTGCGTGGCAGGTGGACCCGCATGTTCAAGCACTACCGCGACCTGACCCAGCCCGGATCGACCACCACCAACGAGATTGCATGGGCCGCGATGGTGGGCACGGAGGCTGCAGCAGAAGAGACGGAGCTTTACCGCGATGTGGATCCGAGGGATTATGCGGGAGCGATCGCGTGCGCGATCGCAATGGTGTGGGAGGTGACGCGCGGTTCGGCGGTCTCGACCGCGTCGGATTCTGGCAATTTGGCCGCGCGAGCGGTTAACTGCCAGAGGGATCGATGCCGTCTGTTCCCCGTTGTAACCGCGTACGTCATCAGGGCTGTGCGGCGGCGCAATTCTCGCGAGAAGCAAGCTGGTGACGACGAGCCGAAGGTAGTCGCGGATCCGAGGGTGGTCGCGGATGCGATTGCATCTGAAGTCGTGAACGACGTCGTCGCCAAGTCTCGCGACCTCAGGCACATTGAGATGGCTGCTCGCGAAACGGTGGACGTTATCATCACCTGGTGCGACTGCTCGGTTGCGGGGAAGGTCATGGAGTCCATTGGGCTTTACCTTGCCCTGCCCAAGGATCGTCTTAAGAAGCGGACTTGAGTGCGTGTAGTGTCGCGTCGCGTGTGCGCAGCCTGTCCACCCTGCTTGAGTTCTACTCGCGGTGGATTGTTGTTCATGTTGCGGACATGTGTGCATGTAGTATGTCGTGTGTGTTTGTGTGTGTGTATTAGCGTGAGAACATAGTGTTGACTTGGATCAATATGTGCTTGAAGACAGAATCATGACTACCGCGGACGGGAACCGCGAAAAACAAGCTTGAACAGCCATTCCTGGTCTGCATCACGCACTTTTCGAACGCGTTTCGATGGGAACCACACACATGTCGTACGTTGAACAATAGAAAACCATTGGTCCACACTCTCCTACATTACAAACACAGACGCGAAGTGAGCAGCCTGACAAACCATGTCCCGCGGTCGCGATCTCACGCACTAAGCTAGCGGAGGCATCTGGTCACAGTACTGAAGCCACGCGACCGGAAACTCAGACGCGGGAAGCGAGGCATCGATGAGGCGGTCGCGTACAAGCATCCATTTAACCCGCAACTGCACCTCCGCAGGGGTACCCTTCTTCAGCTCGCTCAGCGACGAGTCAACACTCTTCTTCTTCACCGCGATCCCTTCCGACACACCCGACATGCCCACAGATCGGGACACGTTGTCGAGTTTCTCGAGCACGACCGCGATGTTGTCTCCCTGCTCCACCCTACGGGAGATGAAGTCCATAACTCGCTTCACACGGTTTATCGCGTTTTGGGCGGCGTTCTGGCCGCCTTTCTCCTTCCCCATGAGCTCGGCCATTCGCGTAACTGCACCACGGGGTTGGGCCAGTAGCGACTCTGGACTCTCGCCTACCAGCGCGTGCGTGGACTTGTACAGCTTCCATCCGTCCGACGGCTTGGTCGCGTTCACCCATGGTTTCATGATCGCGTCCCGAATAGTCTCATCCCTGGTCGGCTGTGCTGGCTTCTTACGCGTCCCCTGGTCGGTGGGGGTTGCGGAATTGGTGGGCGCGGCCGCGGCTCCAGGAGTGTTTGCCGGTCTCGGATCCGCGGTCGGCCCTGAGCTGCTCACGGTGAGACGCGACAGCTGGGCTTCCAGGTCGTTCACGCGCTCGTCCTTCTCAGCCAGCCTCCGGTCGCGATCTTCCAGCAGCCCCTCCAGCTCTTTCACCCGTCTCTGGATCGCGGCCAGCTCTACGGCCAACCTGGTGTTGTCCGCTTGTGAACGTGTCAGGTACTCAGTGAGGCAGGCCACTTGGTTCTGCGCGTCCATCCTGGTACTGACCTCCTGCATACACAGAACGCGAACGCGTAAAATGTGAAGGGTACGCATTGACATTACAGCCGAACTAGTAACGCGACCACACAGTACGCACCGCGCGCTGGGTCAGTGTAGGGGTGTTTCGCTGTACTATGGCCAGCTGATTTGCCAAGGAGACATCTGCTGCCCACCGCGCAAATTCCTCTGTCTGGCAGAGCGGGTTGTTGACCACGTACGGGTGTCGCGGCTGGTGTATGTAATACATGGCCAGGTCTTGTGCGACCGCCATTCTAGCCTCCCCATTCAGCTCCTTCAGTATGTTTAGACCCGCGGTGTCCTGCTTCTCCGGCTTCTTCTCTTTGACCATCTTGCTGTTGTAATCATGGCACTGTGCAACACAACAACGCGATAGTTTAGGGGTTTATGTGGAATGATCGCGGTGTGTTGATACTACTATGCGCGGCCCACACCCACCTGTTTCTGCCCTTTGTCCTCGGCGGCCCATGGGAAGATGTGCTTCTTCATCAGCTTCTCCAGCGCCTCGCTCGGTGGAACTGTTGCGCGACCCAGGAAGTAGTCACCATCAACCCCTGTGAAGCCAGCCTTCAGGAGCACGGCCTCCCTCGGAATAGTTGTGAGGTAGTGCTTAGTCATCACGTCGATGAAGCGCCACCCCCCCAGTCTCGCCAGCTGATCCGACGGCATTCCGTCTGCGGCCGCGTGCTGAGCCCCTCCAGCTCTAGTCGCGTGAACGACACGCGAGCATGTGATTCCCGCGTCCCCCAGAATCTTCGCCGCCCAGTCGTGATGAGTCGTGGGCGGTATCTGCTTCTCGGTGCCCGCGCGAAGGGGGAAGAAGAGGTACTGGTCGTACCACGTCGAAGGTTCCGTGAAGTCGAGAGGGGGGGCTATGTCCCCGTAGAGGATAGGGACCAAGTCGTACACCCAGTGCAGCCATAGCAGCGTGGCTCCGACCGCGCACAGAGTCCAATCAATGTGTCTCACTGCCGAGATGTAGTTGAGCGAGAAGTCCTTGTTTGTCTTGCCCGTCCTGCACGCGCAGACAAACGCGAACGCATTCCGCACTGGATCCGTCTCGGATTTTGCGCCCAGCTTCCACATCATCATGTCTGGAAGCTGGAGGTTTCGGATCGTGCACCCGCGAGCTAGTGTGTGATGACCGAGGAGCGTCATCGTCCTGATGCAGAGGTCGCGATGCATTGCCTGCGTGTACTGTTGCTTGGCTAGTGTGAAGCTGCTCACGATGGCGGCCATGCTGGTTTTCCGCATCATCTTCTTGAACTCGTCCGGGTTGTACGTGTCCGCGGCCGTGCCCCGATGGCGATCCATGTGTTCCCTGCATCAAACCAGTTCCACGATTGTGAGCCTCTGTACGAACGCGGTAAACTCGGACATTCGCGTTCACTGAGTACGTATACTTACGCGATGAACCGCTTGTACTGGTCGCGGACTTGAACGCAGACCCAGATGCGACACTCCGCAAAGTCGCGCAGGAGATTCAGAACCGGCTTCCTGAAGATGGCCCCGTCCAGCTTGATGAGCATGTTCAGAGCCTTGAGACGCCCCATCAGCATTGCAGGGGAGCACTGGCGTCTCTTCTTCAGGGTCTTGTCGGGCCGCTTGAGTGTGGCCATCCTGTCCGCCTGTGCGACCGTCTCGTTCGCGAGGAAGGTCACGTATTTGCGTAACCTCCACGGATTCGTCTCAGGGCCGTGGAACCACTGCTCGTCGCCCTTCGTCATCTTCCAGTCACCACCTATGTCCTGCTCGAGGCCGGCCCCGATCTCGTCGGGGTTCACGTTTTCCAACGCGGCCTCCTCACCGAACCTATTCGCGTCCAGCTTCGGCAGCTCGTGCGCCATGAAGAGCTTGTACTCTCTTGCCCAACCGCGATATTTCTTCAGCGTGGCTTCAGAGACACCGTAGAGGATGCCCATGCACACCTCTTTTTTCGCGGCCGGTTCCAATCCGCGATGGGAACCTCCAAGTCCGTTCGCGTACCCCGCACTCGTTCGTTGTCTTCCTCCTCCCCCTCGTTGAGCGCGGACAACGAGTTAGAGAGGTAGTTTTCGTCATCTTCATTCCAACTATCTTCCTCATCTTCAGCGTCCTCCTCGTCATCCTCATCGCTTTCCCCCTCGTTACCCTCTCGCGATCCGAGGCGTGCCGTGTGAGGCGCGACTTCGACTCGCCGCCTCCTTACTTGCGGTCTACTGACTGGGACGTTCCCGGTACCGCCGCTCGCGTTACCACCGGTTTCTCTGCCTCCGTTGCCTAACACCCCAGGCGCGCTCCGCCCGTTCGCACTACCTCCGTTCCGTCCCACACCGGTCCCACGTCCCGCGTTCGCTCTCCCACCCCTTCCTCTAGCACCTCTCGCACTCTCACCTGTCCCTCTTCCCGCGTTCCCTCTCGCAGCTGCACCTCTTCCTCTTCCCGCGTTACCCCTTTGCACCAGTCCCTCTTCCCGCGTTACCACCTGCACGCGCTACTCGTACCGCGTTCCGCGCGTTCGCCTGTGGTTGTTCACCTTCACAGTTCTCGTCCGCTGCGGTCGGTTGCGCGGGGGTGCGGATGTGGACGTCCGGGTTTCCCGGCAACAGCGAGTTCACGTTCCAAATTGTCGGCGAATGTGCACGCGCGCTGGCATTCATCCCCGCTCCAACATTCTCCGCACGCACTGAACCATCGGGAACCGCGACCGTCGAAGGGCCGTCTGCACGCGCAGGGGTGTCCACACCCATCTGTAATGGTTCTATGCGGTCACACGGGGCTTGCAATGGTGCCTGGATTTCCGGTTGAATCGCGCTGGGGAATGGGGTTGACGGCGCGACCGGAGGCGTCGCGACAGCTTCGGGCGCGTTCAGCATGGGGTCCGGTTGAACGCCGATGTACCCGTACCTGAATCCCACATTCCCGTACTGCGGCCCTACGAAGCCACGCACGGGCATCCCAAAGAGCTGGCTTGAGGGCATGGACGCGTACGCGGTCTGGTGTTCAGCAAGCCTTTGTCCGGGATGCGGCGTGGATACTCCACGCGAGTTCAAATCATCCTGCTGGGCATGGAACGCGACCGTCGCCGATGCAAACGGTATCTGTGTCCGCGGTGCTAGGTGGAGCCCGTTGACCAGTTGCTGTGGGTGAAACGCGGGCAAACGCGTGCCAAAAACCACAGGCTGCACGTGTGGGGTGCTCCATGTGGGGATGTGCGCGTGCATGTTGGCCACGGGAGCGCTTGGCGGATCTGCATTATGGATTTCGGCCGCGGAAGGAATAGCCGAAGCATTGACGGAGGCTTCAAGGATTGGCGCCGCGACGCGATTCACGGTATGCATGCAGCGTGCGACATTGCCCCTACTCCTTAAAACCGCGTGCGTCAACATGACGCGCGATCGCTAATGTGACAACCGGGTGTGAAGTGTACTCTGTACAACGCGACCGTGGTGCTCACAGGCTCTCGAACGCGGCCCACATCGCTAACGCGGCCCACATCGCTAACGCGGCACTAGTGTCCCGTTTCCCGTCAGGTCAGGTGACTCCAGTGTGGCATGAGAGGGAGGAGCCTGTGGTGCAACTGGCGTGCGGAAAGCGAAAATGTGGGCATGCTGGGAGTAATGACCGGCCACTGCGTGGACGTGCATGACACGTTACTGCGATCGCGGCTCGACCAAACAGCGACAGCTGTGTGGCTCGTTCAATGTGCTGCACTTGTCAGTCAGCATGGAGCCTACCAGATCGCGCCAGGTGTTTCCGAACCGGGTGTTGCATCGCGTTTCCCAAGCCTATAGATGGGCGAATTCGGTTCGCGATTTGATGCGAGACTTCGCACCCAATGGTAGCACTCCTGTTTTTCCCGCTCGCGCAGTTGCATGCGCGGAATGCCCTGCCTGTCAAGGTCTGTTGACCAATCGCGTTGGTTTTTTCCCGAGTCGCGCATGCATCGGCGCGTAAGAACGAGGTAGGTTCTTTCAGTTTTTGGGGGGTCGCGGAGCTCTCGGTGGAAACCTGGTGGGTTTCACTGAGCCACGCAGGGCCGCGCAAGGTCCAAAACTGGTGGATTTCTGGAGGGCTGACTTTGCCTCACGCGTCCCCCGATGTCTCCGCGCCCCGTGCATCCCAAGGCGTGGGCGGGGTTTTTCCCGAGCCGCGCCGTATGAACATCCCAATACATATGTACAGTAATTTTTTCCGCGGATCCGCGCACGTGAAACAGGCGAGGGGAACGGATTCGGGCGGGAAAGGCGGACACGCGTCCGCCAGTGAGCGAGGGACGCTGCATGCCGCGAGGGATTCCCAAGGGACCCTCGCTGAGGAAAACTTTTCCCTCGCTCCGACGGCCCTAGGGAATAACTACGGGTTACCGAACGGATTACTGGCCGTTGAAATCCCGCGGAAACCCAAGAGGAGCCAAACTTCCGCCGTCGCGATCCACGTGTCTATGTTACAGGCGTCGTAAATAACACGCGGCAAGGAACTACCGGCTGACGAAGGAGAAACGAAACATGACGTGTTCTAGCGAGCGGAACATCCAAGTCGCCTGTCGCACACGAACAAGAACCCACGAAAGGAATATCCATGTCGTGTGTGTCGTGTCTGCAGGAAAAATGCATGAAAGTCGGGCTGGTCGTAACGAAAACCCTGAACTTTGGGGGCAATCAAAATCCGCGAGCTGACAGGCAATTCCACCAGCGTGAAAGCCTTCCCGAAAACTCCTGAGCGGTGTTCCCTTGACAAATGAAGGGCACGATTTTCAAATCCGCGAAGGCAATGGCAATTTTCACACCCGCGAAAAAGCCTAATTACGCGCTGTTACGGACGCATTGCCGAAAACCATACCTGCGGAAATACGAGATCACAACTGGAAAAGGAATCCACGAACACACATACGATGTTCCACCCGCGAAAAATTCCCGCGAAGTGCATCGTGGGAAAAATTGCCCTCGCCTTCGCAGATGTGAACAGTCCGTGCAGAACACCCGCGAAAAAAAACACACGGTGTGTTGCAGCGAAAATTGAGGGTAGCACCTGCTTAGGCTTTCAAGGTTGCGTTGCACAAGAGTTTCTGGGCGAAACGTTCATTTCGCAACTAGAGCGTGAAACAATGCTTGTGCAGGCGCGAACGTGAATCGGAAGTTTTGCTTGTTTTCGCACACCACAACTCTGTGGTACACGAAAATTTTGAAAAAAATACGAAATTCCATACCCCACGTAACTGGTGGTTTTCGAGCACAAGCACCATTGCGTGCAAACTGCTTTACGAAAAAAAAATCAGCTGCAGACACATGGTGCCAGCACACCACAAGGCGCGAACAGTATTGTACGCATTTGAACAAGTTGTTGAAGGGCCCGGTGGAATAGAAAACGAAACTACGCGTTTGGTTTCGCATGTTTGGCTAAAACCGCGAAATTGCTTGCGATTTCCCACCCGCGTAATTGCTTCCCCAAAACTCATGCATTGCATAAAAAACTTAAAGCCTTTATAGTTAAAGTTTTCAAGAAAGTTTCAATAGATCGAATATTTATGCGAGGTGGTCGCGGAAACGAATGTAGGATTAGTAATCTTGGAATGAAATATCCTTCGCGTTAAAGAAGGCTTTAAGCACTCGAAAGAAGAGACCCGCATGACCTCACTCGCTTTTAGAATACTCCGCGAACGCACGGGCGATTTTCCTACCTCTCGGTTTGGAAACCTGTCAATTTTCGGGCTTCTGGCGAAAATTCCAGGGCATGAACACAGGGAAATCCGTCGGAATTCCTAACACCCCGTCAACGCACAGATCCGCCTAAGTAAAGGGGAGTTGAAATACCCCTCTGTTTTCACGGGCGCGAAAATACAGAGGAAAAATCCAATAGCAAAAACGCAAAAACATGGCAGTAACTCTGCTGGTGACACACAAAAAATTTTACGAAACCGAGTGGGTCAACACGCAAGCACACCCGTTGAGAATCGGTTTCAACCACAAGAAACGCGGGGTATTCTGAAACCGCGGTTACAAAACGGAAGCTCTTTGAGCGTTTCGCGCCTTAAAAAGTGTGTGATTCTTAGCAAAGGCACGAAATTCCCCCCCGAAATTCTTATCAAAGGCGTCGAAGACGGTTCAGCATGTGCCAAAAAATCGGGGAGGGGAGGTGGGGGGGGAGGGCATTTGCAACCACCATGAGTTTGCAACCAGACGAACTAGACGAACATCCCCACGTTCGGGCAGAGACATCTAGGTAGACGCAAAACGGCAGCTCCTTGAACGTTTCGCGCCTTAAAAAAATGTGAGTCACGAAATAACCCCTCGAAATTCTTAAGCGGTCTTCGTTTCGGCGCGAAAACTTGAATTCGCGCGAAAACTTGAATCTCCACGTTTTTCCGAACTTGAAAGCCGAACGGAGGCGCGATTTCATGTTTCCGCTCTTAATATCGTGATTTTCTCATGTCCACTTTCTCTCAACAAAACATTTTTTGTTGCTCCAGTCGGTTCGCACCCTAAGCGCTGCCACCCTGTCTGTACACTGAGTACTCAGTCGAAGTGCGCGAATCCGGGCCTGAAATGTATGTGCTTCGATTTTTCCCTTTTCGAGCTCAGGCGAACACACGCATACATTAGCACAGGGATAGCCGTTGAAATACCCTGTTCGCACAAAGCATACGTGCATTATCGGGTGCGAACATCCCTTCGTTTCACGGGTGAACACCCCGTCCAATTTTCGCGGGCGCGAAAATACACAGGGAGTGCGAGCCCAGCAGATGTTCGGGTCCATAACTGTAGAGCATTGCTTTCTTTCGTAACGATATTTTCCTCTGTTATTCGAGGGAGGGTTTGTTTGCGCCCAGACAAATGAGTTACAGCAGCGCTTGCTCTTTGTTTTTTCCCTACCGTCACTGATTTTGTTTCCTTCCGTAGCGATTTTCCTGCTCACGGAATCGCTCGCACTAGCGCGATTTCGCAATCACAAATTGCAGATATTTCTGCTTTCCGAATCACGCCTCGTGTTTGCAGCTATGGCTGGGTAACCAGGCCCACGACGATTTCAGGGCGGGACAGCTTGCTGAGTAAGCCAGGTCCCCACGAGTTGCGTAATTCGGTTCGGTGCTGCGTCAGCGGGTGGTCCCCACGGGCAGCCGAGGCCCGGCGTCCCGGTCAGGTTCCGAAGGGCCGGGCCTCGGATACCTCGCGAGGAGGGTCGGGCGAGGCAGGCGGCTGACAGGGCAGTCCCAGGCTGGCCTCGCTCGCGTGCCCCGGGTGACGATGGCGAGGGCATCGGCCCCCCTCGCGGCCTTTCCCTCGCGGTGAATAGATAATACATACGAACAGTGAAGTAATGACGTCATCCGCGCATGATTACCCGGGCGAGGGGGCGGGAAAAGTGACGTCAGACGGCCACGCGGGCCACCAGCTCCGAAGTCCCTCCTGGTCCGGAGTTGGCCCTTGGGAGCTCCGAAGTTCTTTCAGGCCGACAACAGCCTAGTTTTCATCCGGGTTACAATTCGTCCCATTGGACCACGTGTTGCGGGGAATTCTGCGGGGAGCTTCGTTTCCGCGTCCGCGCACCACGTGTCGAGCTCGGAAACGTCGTTAAGATTTCAAGTGTCAGAATTACAGAGGTCGACGTCCAGATTCAGTGATGCGAAAACATCTCGCAACCCGAATCTAAGTTAATCGCATGGCTCTCGTTTTGCGCAAATCATATGCGACGTAAGAATCTAACGCTACACGACCATCGACGATCACGAAGGTAACCATTTCGTCGTGTGCCACGAAAACCAGTTGACAATCACGCGGATTGCTCTCGTGAAATACGTTCGCGCCCTGAAACGTCATTCCGCGTGCCCCACGAAAACAATTGGAAGCCCAGGCCGTGGGGCTGGTTTCATCTCCGCACGAAAATGTTTTGTTTACTGGCTGTACAAACTTTCGCAAGGAGGCACTAGCGTGCTGACACGAAACACGAAATACACTAGCCCAATTAAACACCATCGAGATTCTTTTATGACCGCGAAACTATCTGGCTATATGCAGGAAACCACCGACATCCGCGGCTCAGATCGTGCGGTACAGCACACACAGAAGTTTTCGCGCCACCAAGCAGCACAACTTTCGCGCCACCCAGTGAAGTTTCGCGCGCGAAAACATCAGCAGTTGCTTTGATAAAACAAACTACAGCAGAAATATAGGAAATCTGCGAACTCTCCTAGTAAAGCAAATACGACAATGGTGTGCGATTCCGTTTGTTTCCCGCGGTCAAATACGGTGCAAATACGAACAGCAGCGGTACAAGGTTTTCACCGTTCTTAACCGAATCTTGCACTGCATTCCGCGCGCCCCACGAAACTTGGGAAAAATGGGAAACGCACGGGAGTGGGGAATTTCCTCGCGTGCATGAAGATTCCTGATAACATTTATCGCTACAAAGAACGAGTTCACCCGCGTGAAATCGTCTAGTGAATGACAAAATCCGCGAAACCGTCTTAAGTAACACTTCACCGACTTGCAAACCAGCTA